AAACAAAAAACAAAACATAGAGTTCAAGAAGAAAGAAAATGTTTTGAAAATGATGGTGGCAGCAATTGTATAATTATGCTTGATCTAATTATGGATTGTTATGATATCTGTAAGAGCTCCCAATAAAATGATTAAAAAAAAGAAAAGAGAAAAATCCCCGGGGCTCTGTTCTACTCTGATACATGTGGAGTCACCATGAGTCAGAACAATTCAATAGTAATTCTTTTTATTCACATTTTTTGTGATTTTCTCCATTCACTATTTTTATTCAGTCTTGAAAATTGGACATTTAAAATAAGAAGGTGAAAAGGAGTGTCAATTTTGTTTCAGATCACTTACTTCAGCGAAAAAATATTTACTTACTCTTGAATGATGGGGTTTGGATATTAAAATATTCCCATATGAGAGGTAGGTTTTTCGAATCCACAACATGAGTAGGTCACATAGCCAGAGATAAAACCTTACTTACATTTTCTTCACCCCAACAGTTATATTGGCTTATATACCTGTTCCTTTTATGACATTGGGCATTTGGGGACTCCAGCTTCAGATGCATTCAGTAATTAAAGAAACCATTACAGATAAAATGGGCTTAGTAAAAAGGGAGATAGGTACCTTGATTTTTTTATTATTATTATAAGAGAAAAATGTTGAGGAGAAAGTTTAGCTTGGCAAATCTACAGAACAGAAAGAAACTTTAGGTTTGGCAAATTCATGAAAGATAATTCTGGATTATTTGGATTTAGTTAATTTAGTCTCAAAACATCAACAGTCTCTTACTGCTTTGTGAGAAACACAATTCTCTTTAAGGTGTCTTTGAAAGCTTGTTTCACTTGCTTGTTTCGAAGTGTATAAATGAATGGATTAAGCAAAGGGGCAACTGAAGTAGTCAGCACCGACACCACCTTATTGATGGCCACACCTTCCTTTGCTGAGGGTTTGATGTAGATGAAGATGCAGCTGCCATAGGTGATGGACACCACAATCATGTGGGAAGAACAGGTAGAAAAGGCCTTTTTCCTCTGCTGGGCAGAAGGGAATTTTAGAATGGTCTTAATGATGTAGGTGTACGAGAGAACGACACATATGAGGGTAATAATGAGTGTCAACACCGCAAAACTCAAAATAATTTTCTCTATAAATACCGTGTCTGAGCAGGTTATCTGCAGAATAGGAGACGTATCACAGCCAAAATGATCGATCACATTGGAGTCGCAGAATTCCAGCTGGAGACCTATGCCAAGAGGTGGTATGATGATCAACAGACCAGCGGCCCAGCAGGAGAGAACTAGTGTAATGCATACACTGTTGTTCATGATGGTTGTGTAGTGGAGGGGCTTGCAGATGGCCACATAGCGGTCGTAGGACATGGCAGCCAAAAGAAAAAATTCCGTTGCTCCGAAGAAGACGACAAAAAACAATTGTGTGGCACAAGCATTGTAGGTAACCGTATTATCTCCAGTTGTCAGGGTGTACAGGAATCTGGGAATACAGACGGTGGTGAATGAGACTTCCAAGAAAGAGAAGTTTCGGAGGAAAAAATACATTGGTGTCTTAAGATGGGAATCCAAAAGCGTTAGGCTGATAATTGTCAGGTTCCCAGTAACGCTCAGTATGTAGGTAAGAAACAAAAAGATAAAAAGCAGAAGTTGTAGCTTTGGGTCGTCTGTCAATCCCAGAAGTATGAATGTTGTTATCGCTGTCTGGTTTCTCATCACTGTCTTTTGTCAAGTCATGAGCAATTGGACCTGACGAGAGAAGTGCTGTAAGAAGCTAGCATGGAACCTGTGTGAAAGACACAAAAAGCCAGCTCGCGTGCATTTTCTTATTTTACTTATAATCAGTTCATTAATGTAGCATCTCCTTTGGCCTCTGAATACGAGGTTCCTATGGAAATATTTAAATATATATCTTATGTTTACACTTCTCTGATCAGAAATTTATTTATAAAGATGTTAAAAAAGAACCCCAAACAAAATATGAATTATACATTTTGTACTTTCAACAATAGTGCCTTGTTGTGCAGCTTTTATTTG